GTGAAAGGAGTGCCAATTTAGCACTCCTTCCAGGGGTGGCAAAGCTGCACCATGGGGCTGAGGTTTGGGGATACCTCGGTCCCACAGCGCAGCTTCCCAGGGCAGCCCAAGGCTGCCCGTCTGCTTCCCCTCATTGTCAGGGAAAGAGAGCCAAGGTCACAACAAATGCAGTTGTGTTGAAGAAACAGGAAAGTCAGGTATGAATGATCCAGTGGTTTCCAAAGTCTTGGACTGACACTTTTATACAGGAGCTGTCAGAGCCCCTTCCATTACAAACCTTCCTCTTAAGAAGTCAAAGCTCTTTGATAAAGCCAAGCATTTTTTCTAGGCATTAAGGTTTCTACTTGTCTGTTGAGGTGCTAATATTCTCAGACACTGGGAGTCAAAATATGAGAAAGAGAGCCAAGGTCACAACAAATTGAGTCCTATTGCAGAGACAAGAAAGTCAAATATGGGTGTTCCAAAGCCACAGTCCAATAACAATACAGTGTGAAGCATCAGCAAATGCCTACATCTATCTCTGCTGCGGTTACTTCCTCATCTGATGGAGATAGATCCTCAGCCATCCATCTATGCTCAACTAGCACCACAGGCTCTGGCAGTTTCAAAGAGAATCACTGGCTGGGTTTGGATGGCCTCATCTCCTCTTTAGAACTGAAGTTGTTGTTATTGTTGTTGTTGTTGTTGTTGTTGTTATTATTATTAATGTTTATTTATATAGTGCCATACATTTGCATGGTACTTTACAGAATTCATCAAAACAAAATATAACCTTCAAATGACATACAGTCTAAAAGTAATAAAATATAAAAATAATATACAGTGCTTGGACAATTTATCCCAGTAAAATACAATTATAAAAACTATAAAACAGATAATACATCATTAATCTAATTTATCAGAGAATATTAAACTACAGTCTGAAATCCTTCAGAGAATTACAAAAAGGCTTTAGTTTGGATTTAAAACTAGCTAAAGAAGTAATAATCCACAAATGTTTGGGAAGGCAGTTCAAAGAATAAGGTGTGGCAAGTGAAAAAGGATGAATCTGATCCAGAGAAGAAAAAAAACCTTGGTTGGGTAAGGAGTCCCAATCCCCTGGACCACAGATCTTGATCATAGGTCAGGATGGTAAGATGAGACAATAACTGACAAATAAGGGGAAGGGATAAGCTGTGTAAAGCTTTGAAGGGTAGAAGAAGAAGCTTATATCAGGTCCTGAAAGGAATGAGCAGCCAGTGAAGAGATGCCAGAAGTGGGGGGACATGGTACCAAAGGGGTGAGCCAAAAAGATAATCTCAGTAGCAGAGTGTTGAATAGAAACCCAGGGACTAAGATGGGACAAAGGAAGCCCCATCAAAAGAAGGATGCAGTAGTCAAGGTGGGAGACAACCATGCCATGAACTAAAGGCTAGTGGAAGAAACTGAACTGAACTGAAATTATTGAGGTTTTCAGTCTCATTTTAGATCAGTATCATAAGTTAGAAAATGAAGCAAAGCCAGGAGGCTATTGGTCACATAAATTAATAAATATCTCCTTGTTTTCCTAAGAGTTGGTTTGGCATGCCCCCCTCCCCCAACATAGAACAGATATGATGAGATCTGCTGCAGAGAATAGGACTCAGAACGACAGATGCAAGCTACAGGAAAAGAGATTCCACCTCAACATTAGGAGGAACTTCCTCACAGTGAGAGTTGTTCGACAGTGGAACACACTCCCTTAGAGTGTGGTGGAGTCTCCTTCTTTGGAGGTCTTTAAACAGAGGCTGGATGGCCATCTGTCGGGGATGGTTTGATTTTGAGTTCCTGCATGGCAGGGGGTTGGACTGGATGGCCCTTGTGGTCTCTTCCAACTCTACGATTCTATGCCTTCTCATGATAATTTGATATTTTCCCCTGCTTTTGAGGTCAGACTGACTGATGTGTAGTTTCCTGGATCATCATAATCTTGTTTTTTCTCTCACTCTTTCTTTTTCTCAAATAGGGTGAAAGGATGCAACCTTGTCTGACTCCTTTGCCAGTTGGGAACCATTCTGTTTCTCCGTGTTCTGTTCTGACAGTAGCTTCTTGTCCTGATTACAGATTCTTCATTAGGACTATAATAATATAATAATAATAATACTTTTTATTTATATCCCGCCCCTCTGCAGAGCAATCGGGGCGGCTTACAATATTACAATTTCCATTAAACAAAACATAAAATCCCGAATCCCACCCATCCTTTAAGAAATAAGAGTTCTTCTTATTTTAGACTGGGTGGTGCTGGGCCTAGTGTCTCTCCCCCAGATGACATCAGATGGTAATGGAGGGAGGGCTCTTTGAGGACTATCAGATGTGTTGGCACTCCCATGTCTTTAAGGGCATTCCTTAGCCTTTCATAATCTATGCAGTCAAAGGCTTTGCTGTAGTCTATAAAGCACATAATGATTTTCTGTTGGAACTCTGTGCTATACTCCATTAGCCATCGTATATTTACAATGTGATCTCTGGTGCCTCGTCCTTTCCTGAACCCTGCTTGGACCTCTGGGATTTTTCTCTCTCATGGAGCCTATGTTGCAGAATTTTGAGTATGATTTTGCTTGCATGGGAGATCAGTGCTATGGTCCCATAGTTGCTGCAGTGTGTCCTTTTTTTGTGGATGGGGATGTATATTAATCACTTCCAATCTGTTGGCCATTGTTTTGTTATCCTTATCTGTTGAGATATGTTGGTTAGCACTAGAGTTGACTCTGCCACTGTGGATTACAACAGTTCTATTGGAATAGCATCTGTTCCTAGAGTCTTGTTTTTTGCTGTTTCTTTTATTGCAGCTTCCACCTTAGTTTTATTAGAATTTGGGGTTCATTTTAATATAGCTCTTCATTCCATGTGTCCTTCATGTTGTCATCTCTTTTATATAATTTTTCTATGTATTGCATCAATCATCTTTTTATTAATTCCTGATCTTGAATTATGTTATTTTTATTGTTGTAGAGCATCCCAGCCCTTGGAATATAATATCGTGAGACTATTACTCTCCTTGACTTGGAAACCATGTTTCTATTAATTTACAGGCTAAAATAGCATTCTCACATTCCCAGCTCATGTTCAATTTATGGTCAGCAATAACCCAAGGTCCTTTTTGACATTTAGTCCTTTTTAACATGACATGCTGAGTCATGTGTTCTCCCATCTTACACCTGTAGCTTTAGTTTCTGTACCCTAAACTATAACTTTGGGGCATTGCAACTCTAAGGCAAAACTACCATGAATTTTTCTTGGCAAGTTTCTTTAGAGGGGGTTTGCCATTGCCATTCTCTGAGGCAAACAGATTGTGACTTGACCAAGTTCAACCAGAGGATTTTCATTACTGAGTAGGGATTCAAACCCTGATCTCCAGATTCATAGTCTAACCTTCAAACCACTACACCATGCTGGCTTTCCCATGTATTCCACATTTAATCAGTTTTTAAATAGACATATTATGAGGAACCTTATCAAATGCTTTGCTAAAATCCAGATAAATGACATCTACAGCATTCTTGCCACCTACTAAGCTAGAAACAAGATTGAAAAAAAGATGTAAGAATAGATTGGAAGGATTTGTTCTTGACAAACCTATGCTGGTCCCTGCAATCACTGCATTGCCATCAAGATATCTGCAGACAGACTACTGTATAATTTGTTCTAATATTTTCCCCTTCTATTGAGGTCAGACTGACTGATGTGTAGTTTCCTGGATTACCATCATCTTGTTCTTTCTCTCTTTCTCCTGCTCTCTCTGGACTATTTTTTTTTTAAAGAGAGGGACAATGTTTGCTCATCCTTTGGTTCCACACTTGTTGATAAGTGGTTCAGAGACTGCATCAACAAGTTCCATAGTACTCTGGGAAACAATTTATTTGACCCTGCATATTTGAACTCATCTAGTTTACCTAGGTGACTCCTAACTCCCAATCAATCTTGATTTATAATTCAGAATATTTGTCAGCTGCTGCCTGGAAGCATGTAGTTCTCTTTCGACAAGAAAACTGAAGCAAAAATGTATTGAGTACTCCTGCCTTTTTGTGTGATCTGCTAGGATTTTACCTCCTTACTGAACAGAACTGTCTCTTTGGTCATTTTCTTGCCTCAAATATATCTAGGAAAAAAACTGTTGTTTTTCCTGAGCCAGTCTTAGCTCATTCTGAGCTTCAACTTTCTTTATACAGTGGGTACTTGGTACCTACCCTTTGGGTTCCACCACCTCCTCTGTATACTAAAATATGTGAATGCTCCAGTCCCATTATATACAGTGGCATATTAAAATGGTGTCCCTAATATATATATATATATATATATATATATATATATATATATATATATATATATGACGACCCCCAACCTTTCCAATTAAAATATAGAGTTTGGGATATACTCGCCGTATAAGACTACCCCTCTTCCAATAGGGTAAAATGAGAAAGTGTTGGGGGGAAGGACTGCTAATATACTAGGTGATGCGTTCTCGAGTATGTACAATTTGCTGCCAAGTAAGTGACCCTGGGCATGTCACAC